TATTTGGATACCCGAGAATTAGGAGTGATACGGGATAACAATGGATGAGGGTGTCGATTGCCGTTCGGAAACCTGTTAGCAGGTAAATGTAAACTCCAGAATGGGGCCCAGCAGTCAAGGCATGCGCCTGCTGTGGAGTTAAATCAAAATATTCAGTGAAGAGCGAACAAGAGCGGGTGTGCCCTAAAGGCTTTAGCGCTTTAAAAATTTAAATGGAAGCTGTCAATTATAAAGCTATTTTATTTTTCTGTGGTACTGCTTTCAAAAGATGAACTTTTGTTGTGTGATTTATTTTTTTTTTTAATTTTTTTTTCAGTTGGAAGATAAGGAAGATTTTCATGAAAAATTCATTCATTTTCTTAAGTATGCTATGATAATCTACAGACGGGAACCAGCAGTGGAACAAGTGATCAATTTTGTGGCTAAATTTGTTACTTCATTTTATCAAATGGAGAAAGAGGATGGTAGTGAGGAGGGAGAAGAAGATAATTTACTTCTGAATTATGTGTTTAACTTTCTGCTTGAGGTACAGTAGCACTTACTATTAAATCTTTAACATAAGAAATGGAAGCTTCATGCAGCAGGGAAAACTTGCTGGTGCTTGAGATGATACCTAGAAACTAGAACTTAAAAAGTGAAAGCAAGGCAAAGCTTTATGAGTAACACCACCACCCCCCCAAACCCAAACAACCCACCACACTCCCTCAATAACCCAACAACTGGATTCCAAGTGTTAGACCTGTGAGAAAATATGAACTGTTTTCTTATTTGGCTGTCAGATGTGTCATTATAGGCTTTACGATAGGTGCGTTTATAAGTGAAATTGTGGAAGTGTTGTGAAAATGAATTTGTACTGTTTCTTTGATAAGTAAAAATATTGAAAGATTTTTCATACGAGTATGGTTGGCATATGTATTATTATTTTCTGCTTATTGAAAGTGTTATATAGAAAGAAGATCAACAGTTCCAATAGCATGAAAACGCAAGTAGAATTACATTTTCTTAAACTAGTGTTTTGACATGGAAAAATTATTGATCAAGATCACTACTCATCATTGCTAATAAAATTTTTTTTCCTTCTAATGTTTTATGGAGATGGAGCAGTAAGTTAGCTAAGGTACTGTAGTCTGCATTGAGTGGTAAGCATATTTCTTCGTTTGTGCAGGCATTGCTAATTATGTAAAGTGCCACTGATAAAGGTGATGGACCATAATTGTTTTGCAGTTCTATGACTTTTTAATCTTATTAAAAATAAACTTAAATAGGAAAAGCTTTTGAAATACAGAATGCGTATTTCATGTACTGTATAGAATATTAACTAATTATCCATGCATATTAATAGGCTTATATTGGAAATGAGAAAACTGTGATTATAAGAATATATTTTTTTTTCTTTTCCTAAGTCTCACAATGCGAACAGCCATGCAGTTAGGTTTCGAACATGTCAGCTTGTTAATAAGGTTTTGGGAAATATGCCAGAGAATGCCCAGATCGATGATGACTTATTTGATAAAATTAATGAAGCTATGCTGATTAGACTTAAAGATAAATTTTCGAATGTGAGAATTCAAGCTGTCTTGGCCCTGTCGAGACTTCAAGATCCTAAGGATGAAAACTGTCCTGTTGTTAATAGTAAGTAGTGGATTTTTTCTTTTGTTTAAGAACATGCGTTGATTTACATTACTTTAAAACATTTTAAAGCATTTTTTTAAGCATTGAGTAAACAAGTCTTAGAGGAAATTGTCATATTAATTTGTAAACTGTGGAGCTCTTTGCCAGAGGAGGCTGTAGGTGCGAGAGTTGTGTATGTTCAAGGGGAAAAGACAGAACTGCTTGAAGGAGAGATCTGCTGGGAACTGAATGACAAACAAATCATACCAGGCTCAGGCTGTTCTGTGACCTGAATGTAGCTGAAGGATGGTGAGAATAATGATGTGTTGCAAATTGGGGTGGAGATATGATACATGCTTGCTCAGTTCTTACCCTCTAAGGACCCTTTTGTACTATTAATTGAATTTGTACAAAAACACTGAAGAGTAGAGATGATTTAAAAAAAAAAAAAAACAACAACTAATTTTGTCTCAAATTATGTCTGGCTGCCCCATGAGAGGCAAAATGGTTGCTGATGTTGTTGACCTATGCTTTTTGGGGCTCTTATTCATGGATCACTTCCTTTAAGAGATCAGCACCTCTGGAACCCGGGTTTCTTGATGCTGTTTTTGTGCTGTTTGTGGGTTTCTTTGCGTATGGTATGATTCTTGACTGAGCCTCTACTTCCATTGCATCAAGGTAGATGGACTGTAGGTTTGTACCAGCACAGATGTTTTTATGTTAATTGTGCCCTGATTAAACTTTTCATACTGTCTTTTGTGAAGTGAGTTAGTTGGAGGTTTTTCATTGTTAAGGTACCTTCTTTGAAATTATATTTTCTAAGTGTTTGTTTATAATTTGCTTATTTAGAAGCACATAAATTTCATAGTCAGTCATCATCTCATAGAGCAAGAAGATGAATTCAAGTATTCTCTGATAAAATTCTTTTTGTTCTTGTTTTTAATTTTCAAGAGGGATCAAGAAAACAACAAAAAGCATTATGTGAGAGATTCACTATTTGAGTTTTGGTAGGCTTAATGGAGATTGCAGTTTTCCATTTATAGGAAAATTTGAGGACCCACCTCCAAAGTAATGACAATGTATAGCCAGTGAATAGAGGTCTTAAGGAGACAACATTTGGAAGCATTTCTTTTTTTTGTTGAGTAAATGACAAAAGGGTTATTTATAGGTGTGATCTAGAGTGTCAGTTTTGAGAGTTACCAACTGAAGATCCTACTTAAGATTGCAAATATTATTTTCATAGTTGAATTTCTTTTGAGATCATAGCTCAGCATGTAATTTTCATAAAATCTTGAGGTTTTGACCCTAAACCGTTCCCTAAATTTATATGAGCTATGCAGGGATGGGGGAGAGGTTTTAATAACAGCTGATTTTTTGTGTGGTTTTTTTTTTTAGTATTTTCTGTTTTTGTGTAATGTTTCAAACTCTTATAGAAATGTTATTGTGACTATTTACTTTCAGTTTACAACACATTGCTTGAAAATGATTCAAACTCAGAAGTGAGGCGTGCAGTGCTGTCATGTATTGCTCCATCAGCAAGGACTTTGCCAAAAATTATAGGCCGCACTATGGATGTAAAGGAAGCTGTCAGAAAGCTGGCATATGAGGTAAATTGGATCACTTAATATTAATTTCAAAGACTGACTTAGGAAAAAGGCTTTAGATCTTTTATTATATTTCACTGGTTAAAAACTAAGAACGGTTAAATAATTTATTTTCACTTACCAGAATTTTGAGGGCAAGTGATTTAAAACAAGTTTTCAACTTAAAACCCTTGAACTTGACCGCAGAACTTACTTGATAAAAATTACTATTGTGATAGAGATTGGCTCTTCAGGGTCAGACAGTAGAAGTATAAATTATGTATACAATCTGTTGTTTTCTATCTGTGCATTTTGTGATGTTTGTGAAGCATTTTTTCTTTTCTGTTATTACATAATAGATACTTAAGTAAAGTTAGGATCACATCAATACTAATGTGGAAGAAATTGCATATGTTTGGTCCAATTTTGAGATATATCAACCATTACTTATATTGACATGTAGAGGTAAGGGCAAGAAGGTGTGCTACCATGTATATTTCTTGTGCAGGCATCTTAGGCAAGATCTTCAAAAAAATGTTCAATTTAGTCACGCAGAACTTAGATTAAATTCTGGTTTTTAACTGAATCTCTATTAGTAGGCTTTAAGAAAAGTACATACTTCAGTCATTTCATTGCAAGTATTCATCACTTTTGGAGCTTTAAAGAGAGAGAATAGTTTTCATATTCAAGTGGAGCTGCCAAGCTTCTAAGCTATTTGCTAACTTTATTCTTACTTTATTTTACATTTTCTTCCATGCACAAGAATCTGCTTGTTAATGTATTGATTCAATGCTGATGGTATAGATACCGCAGGCTTTTGTTAACTTTTTCATGGATGAATAGAATTTCTGTAGATTGATAAAACTGAGAGCTTAAAGCCACAGATAGTTAATGAATTCAGTTGTTATCATTTGTAGAAATGTATTTTAATGTCTTAATTTTTTTTTTTAAGGTTTTGGCAGAAAAAGTTCATATGAGAGCTCTGTCAATAGCACAGAGAGTAAAATTGTTGCAACAAGGGCTTAATGACAGATCTGGTAAGAGGTCATCTTTCTCAGCACCTTAATGCAAATGTTTAAGAGAGAATACTTTCTAATGTTTTGGGGATGATTTATGTGGAAGCTGTGATGGCAGTAATAAGGAGTGCAAAGGGAGTCGTTAGGTACCAGGAAAATGTTTAAGCACAAGAAACTCTGCTTGCTCCTTTGGTTTTCCAGTCCCCTTATAGTGGACAAAGCAGAAAAGGATTTCACTTTCAAAAAACCTGGAAGCTACTGAGCTCTAAAATAGGACCAAATGCTATTAAAATTAAAAAATGACAATGTAATTAAACACAGAAGTAGAAAAATGTAATTATTTAATTCAGTGTATTTTGAAATGTTTCATTACAGATATTTTTGTAACTAATAAATATATTAAGAATTGAAATGTAAACGTTAATACTAGTTTGATAACTGTTTGAAAATTGTTTCTGTGTGCTTTCAGAGAGAAATCTCAGCTGGTTAATTTCTCATTTAACTAGCTTGAAATATTTTTTTAATGAATTTTTGATTGACCTTCATTAATTTCATCATGAAGCAGCTTTATTCTTTTTGCTGTCTTCTGTACTGTATCATTTTTATATAAAGAGCCATTCAGAATGTACCCATAATTGTGTGTCATGGTGTTGCTTGTTGCCAAAAGATCAAAAAGTCACTTGCATCTGAGCGAGACAATTTTGGGCTGTCTACATAGAATAAATCTGTCTTTTTTTTTCAACACCATGTTTTGAATTACTATTTCTTACCAGTATACTAGTTTGCTGTTTGACCTAACTATCTGCTGCTTGTCTGCTGTCTGCCACCGTGCCCTGTTCCCCCCAATAATACTTGGTCTTGGCAGATAATTCTTTGTTTTAGGGTGAATGTGTTTCTGTTTTAGTAATCTTTCAAAACTGAAGGAGAAGCTACCTTCATTATTTTTTTCCTGTGATTCTTCATTTGTCAGGAGCAAGGATTTGTTGTTTTCCCTTATTGAGAAGGTACAGCCTTTCTACATGACCTATGTTTCAGTGACACTGAGGTGTTCAACATAAAGAACATCATTCTTTTATGATCCAGAGCAGATACTTTCTCTGTTGGTGTCTGTCTCTTTCTTAGGATGATTCTTCATCCCAACTATTGAGGACTTGCTCTTTTCCCCTATGATTCTAGGTGTCAAGAAAAATATCTGCCAGGGTATGTAGTCTCACTGATAGCATTGATGTCATGTGCTCTTTGCTGGGCAAAAGAGGTTTATGTTCCAAATTGACTGCATTTACATATATATATATATGCACACACACTAGTATTCCCTCATTTTAATTTGTTTTGCAAATTGTATAACCTTGAACATGTATATCTTTATAAAATTTGCTTATCTGGGTAACTCGCAAGCTAACAAGAGAGGAATCTGCTCATTCAAGGTTGCTGGGTTGAAATTTTGGATGTCTTTCCATATCAGCTTCAAAACAAGGGTTTATAATTGAACAAGACCTAGAAGACATAATCCAGATTCTGCTTAGTTCTGCATTTCAGGGTGCATTCAGCTGTCAATTCTCCACTCTCATTCTATTCAATTCTACTATGTTTTACTAGTTTATGCTTTTCACCTTCTTGGAGAGGTTTCTCATTCTTAGGACCTTAATTTAGCTCTTTCAAGGCCTTTTTATGGCTCTTTTTGAACTCTTGACTACATTTAAGTGCTGTCTTTTATTATCATAAGTTACACATAAGAGGAAAGATGAATTTTGTCAGCGTGTGTTGCTTTTATTGTTTCCCTTATATTGGATATTGTTTTCTAAAAGGTCCTAAGAGCATACTTGTATTGCTCCCTAGTTATTATGCTTTTACTTCCACCAGACTATTAGCCTTTCTACTTCCCTGCTTAAATCTGTGTGTATGTATTAATGATGTATGTATTCTAGATGTTCCCATAAATACTGTTTTCCTTGATTAAATAGTACTCTACTCATCCAGAAATTATTTGCTCATTGTGGCAGTGGGGAGGAGGGATTTAAAGTATCTTTATGTAAATTTCATAATCCAGCCTAATAATTCAATTAACACAAAAATTCTGTGTGGCAGTTCAGACTAAGGTCTGTACAGTAGTATCCTGCCTCCAAAAGTGGCCAATTCCTAAATGCCTGAAACAGAGCAAGTATGTAACAATGCTTCCCCAGAGTATTTCCTTGTTGTACAACAGTTCATGGCTTGTAGATTTTTCTGGATTGAGATGCAGTCTTTAGGTATAACAGGTTTTGGATAGAAGGGTTTTTTTTTATTCCCGGGGCGGGGGGGGAATATGTTGCCTTAAAAAAATGTAGTAGTGCTCCATAGATAGTTCTTGTTTAACTGTTGATTTTTTTTTTTTTTTTCTTTTTAAGGTAACATTAAGTTCAACTGTATAATAACTTCTTTCCAAAAAGCCTTTTATAGAAAAATGATTTGTGAAAGCATGTTGAAAACTTGGTATTTTTTGACCTTTAACATTTTAAACCATTTAAATTCCTGCGTTATTAGATGCTGTTAAGGAGGTAATGAAGAAGAAGCTGCTTCAAGCCTGGTTACAATTGACTGAAGGGGATGTTTTAGAATTGCTTCATCGACTGGATGTGGAAAACTGCCCAGAAGTGGCCATCCCAGTGTTAAATGCTCTGTTTTCATTGTCTCCACTTCATGACTTTGTTCAGAACTGTAAAAACCTTGACAGCAGGTATGCAGATCAGTTTTCATTTCCAAAAGATTTCTTTTTATAAGAATGTTGAATTAATGATTATGTCTAAACAGGGAGCAGAGTAACTATTACCTATGATAAAAGACTGATATGTGGTGTAAGCCATGATGTCTCCCTGGTGTTTACGTACTTAAGTGTTTTGGATATGCTTTTTTCTTTTTTAAAAGATCTGTGTTCACCAGCTGAAAATGATTGTGCCAGATAAGCAAGAGGGAAAAATGAAAAATATCTTTGATTTCTTGTTTCCTGAACACCTCAAAAATCACTCTTACAATTTGAGGCAGCAGTAAATTAATCAATTAAATAAGCTTTTTCATGAATAACAACTTAAAGTCTAATTTGTTTTATTTCCTGTACTATCTGTACAGTTTACAATAAAGGTAATGCTCTAGTTTACCCTGACAACTATAATTTCCTCTCTTCTTTTAAGCTGTGGTCCTGAAAAACTCCTTTTTTTTCCCCATTCCTCCTCCCCCTCAGTAATGCTTCTGTTATTTCTCATGCATTTCCTAGTCTTCTTTGCCTTCTGTCTATCCTTTTTGCTGAGCGAGAAGCAGCGCAATTTGGGGCTGGTTCAGTTATCCGTGAACTGTTTGGAGAATCAATCAGAATGGAATTTTTTGGCTTGTGTTTCAGCCTTCTTTTAGAGGTATTTTACTTATATTAACAGAGCTTGACAGAAGCTTGTATCTTAGAGGCTTCTTTTCCTGTGTTAATGTTTGGTAAAATTTGACTAAGTGAGCTCCTAAGCTCATGAGAATGGTGGTGTGATGAATATTAAGATGCATAAAGCAAAAATGAAGGGGGAAAGAAAACACGAAATTAGAAGTTGTAGGAAATTGCTAAGGCAGGCAAAAAGGTGTGAAAAGAAACAGCTCAAGTTAATTGAGGTAACCAGAGTGGAATGATTATTAACAGTGGCAGGAGTCTAATCTCAGATGATAAACTTAAATGACAAATTGTCACTGATTAGAAAGTGATAAGAAAACCTTATTCTGTGTTTTGGGAGAAAATGTGTAACATCATCATATGAAGTGTCTTGCATTCTAGTAGTAGCTTACGACAGATGTTTTGAAATCAGTAGATGCTATGGGCATTGCGCTCCAAAGCTATAGATGTGGGCCTGTCTGGTGTTAAAAAGCATCAGTAACAGTGAAACAACTTCCTTACAGCCTCTGGAAATGTGCCAATATCTTAAGAGGCTCAAAGGAAAAAATTACATAGTTATGGACTTGTCAGTCTGACTTTGATCCTGCTCAAAATGAGGCTTCTGTTCTGGAAGACTGGGCTAACTGAGAATTTTTTTGAGAACTAGATCTGTTAGGCTAATGACATTTTGAGAAGTGAGTGGAATTATTCATCTTGTAATGAGGTTATTTGTTTTAAGGAAAATATTAGGCTTGTTCTTGTATGATGTTTCTGAGTACAGCTTAAGTGATGCATTATCGGTATGATAAATGCTTAGATTTTTTAAGTTTGTGATTTCTATTTGTTAAGTTTACTTTTAAATAAAGACTTCTCAGGTTAATGAGAAGCCATCAAATGATCAGTTTTCATCTACATGTTGCTCAGGGTTTCTTGTGGGTTTTTTTTTTTGTTTTCTTTCCAGTTTTGTGTGTGTGGGACCTAAAAAAACCCCAAAAGTGTTATTGATAGTTTGCAAGTAAAATGGAATTCAAGGGAGCGAAAAGTACCACTGACAGTGATACTCTTTTTTCTGTTTTGAGGTAGAATTAATGCAAAACTTGATGTTCTGCTTCTTGAAAACAAAGCTTATATGCCATGCTTAGCATGGGAAAGACTATGATTATAAAAAGGAGTGAGGGTCCTATGCCTGGTGAACAGAGGATGAGCTTACAGAGATGCTGAGAAGCAGTTCTATTACTTTTTGCATTTGACATACTGTGATTGCCACTTGAATATTGTGTGAAGGTCTTGTATTAAGAGCAGAAGAAACAATTTATAAACAGAAGCTGAAAAACAATTTAATGCAGTTCTGCAGATTAATGGAGTTCGGTTTTCCAGACTTGTACGGTGATAACAATGTTTCACAGAGTTAAAGTAATTGGGTGGTTGGTCTAGGAAGTCTGAAGGGCGGAATCTTTCTGCAGACTGGTAGGAACAGCCTTGTTTTAAAATACTGAGAAGTGCAATGTAGTGAGAGGCTCAAGGGGATCCATGTCTTCACTTAAGAAAGAGGAAGTTATTTTTTTCAGTCTGTAAGTATTTCTGTGGGGAATACCTTTGACAGGATTTTATTTTCATTTTAGGAAATAATCTATTTCTGTGCATTTGTTGTCTTTGACTCCATTTTATTTATCTCTCTGTATTTATTTATTTATTTATTTTGTTTAGAAAACTGATTCCACTGGAAGACTTAACAGCTGAGAATGTGTTGTATTGGAGATGTCTTTGTGAGTATCTAAAATCAAAAGGTCAAGAAGGTGAAGATTTGCTAGAACAGATGTTGCCAGAACCAGCTGTATATGCAGATTATTTATTAAGGTACATTGCATTTAAAAATAAATCTTTTATCACTAAAATAGTGTGTGTTGTGGTTTTTTTTAAAGTAGAGAATATTGCTTTTATTCAACTATTCAGGTTTCCTCCACAGCCGAAGGTGTGCTTGAATAGTGATTTTTTTTTTTTAAATTCTTTTTTTAAACTTTTTATTTTTATAGATTTTTGAGAGGATTTACTTCTAAGCAAAAACTGTAAAAAGCAAATTCATAACTTCAAAACAATTTTTGGAATGTCCTTTCTCATGAATTAGTAGCAAGATGGATTGCTAGTTCAGTAGGATATAATTCTTTGCCATTTAAGATAATAGAATAATTATTCTGTAATATGCAGCTATCCTTTGTCCATCTGTTATCACGTAGGTTGTTATGTATTTGCAAAGAGCTTGCAGAAAGGTTTTTAGAGCTTGCAGAAACCAATACTTTTTTCATTGTTGTAATTTGTGAAAATAAAATAAACTTTGGCTGCTGTCCCAAAGAGAAGTGTTTTTGAAACTGAAAGTTCATTCCCTTCTTTCCCCTGCTCAGGCAGGCATACTTCCCAAAAACTTATGTTTGAAGTCAGTGACAGAGCTGCTAAATGAGCCAATTACAGAAGATTTAATTGAGGGGTGGGGGAGGGGGAAATGAATGTTTTGTTAAGTTAATCTTTTTACTAAAGTGAAGAAAGGTAAATTTTTTTCTCTCAGCGGGATACATAGTCTTAACATAAAATTGGAACAGAATTTATGTTTGTGAGCATGGAGAACGGTGAGAAGTCTTAGCTGAGGTATTCTACTTGCAAAACGTAGAGTGAAGCTTCCTGAAATTATTATAAATCAGATCTGCTGAAAAATGCATTGTTTTGATAGATGTTTCCAATTTAAAATATGCATATTCTTTTCTCACCTCAGTGGGTGTAGTATACCAGTAGTACTTACAGAAATCATTGCTATTTTCAATGTGGAATGTGCTAACATGTTTCATAAACATTTAATAAATGAAGCATCTGTGCTTCCTTAATTTTGAAATGTGGATTCAGTCTAGTGGGTGTAAATTTATTCATTCATAATTAATTTAAGAGTCCATAAAACATTTGTTCTCCAAAAGAAAGTTGTGGGTTTTTTTCTTTCCATCCAATCTTGCCTAAAATGCCTTCAATTATCTTCCCCTCCAGGAAGAGGCAGAGTAAGATTAATTAAGTTTGCTAATACTTATCAGTAGTATCAGTTGTTAAACTATTCACTGGTGAGCTGTACCACCAGTAGTTTCAGGTAAGATTTGCAATTGTACAATCCAAGTCTTTATTTGCACTGTGAGAGTATCAGTTAGGAGGGGCAAGAAATTGCAAGTCATTGATATTTAAGAAAAAATGCAGGATTGTAAACCTCATTTAGATATTTCACTATTATCTGGTGCAAGTAACACTATTCTTAAATTATCAGAAAGTGCTGCCTACATTGTTGTAATTTCAGATGTTCTTAAATAGTTTTTTGTCCTAACTTTGAAGAAATTTTAAAAATTTCCTAATTTAATGAGCTGTTGCTGAAAAGTATCTGCAAAACTGTGGTAAAAATAAGCATATTTTTCACAGTTCATATCAGTATTTGAATTTTATGTATAACATTATATTCAGTATTGAATTTTGTACACTATATGTTTCACTCTAGATTTTCTGCACATGCATACTCACATTGGGTAAAATTTTGATAAAAGAGCCAATGACTCTAGAAAAATAAAATGGAACAAACCGCATACACTCAGCCCCATAGCATGGGAAGTGTATCTGACAGATTGTTGTTCTTCCGCGATATCATACTTGATCAGATAAAGAATTTAAAATTCACTGCACACTTTAATTATTTTCTTGCATTTTGTATTGTAGGCAATATAACACTTCTGAATGTGTAGGAGAGTACATACTACCTAAATATACAGAAAAATACTAGTTGTGTATATGAAAAGTGGTACATATATACATTTATTCCTAAAATGCTGCTTTTTATGCAAGGGTACAGAACTGAAATCACACGTACAAGCATGACTTGTCATTTTCTGTTTCTTACTGTTTTGCGTTCTCAAATAAGGGAATTTTTTAATGAAGTGCATTATTTTTAAACTGTACATTATTTGGTATAAATAACTTTCTGGAACTATTAATCTATGAAAAAGAGAACACAAACATTAATTTTTAAGGTTTGTAGCTAAGGTAACCACTTGTGTACCCAGAACAGGAAAGTGGTGGGGTTTGGGGCTTCTTTTT